ACCCAGGGGTGGTTTAGAATCTGAGCTGCAGTGTATCGTGCTTCCACATTTACTTGTAACATCAGACTAATTAACTCCTGAAAAACAAAAAATAAATGGGGAAAAGAAGGTCCACAATTTATTAAAATGAGAGCTTGCCTTCACAGGAATTTGTCCCCTTTTCAGTTTTTCCTCACCAACCTATTGAGTTTATCAGTAAATATGTGTCCCAATTAATATTTTAGGAGCATCACCCCTCAACAAAACAGAAAAAGCACACAGCTACTAGAAGTAGCTTTCAAATTAACAGAAACATTCTTCCCTCACACTATTTTCATACTTGCCAACTTATTTCCATTAAAGATCTGTTTCTGGGTTGAGCAACATGTGGACATCCGCTAACATGCCCACCTAGAATAGATTTGGCTATTGGGCTAGTACAGATTCCCTTCATGGTACATTACTGTTCTAGGCAACATACTAAGTGCTGACTTTCTTCAATACCCTAAGTATCTTAGGATTCAAGTATAAGTTAGTCTGCCTCTCCCACTATATGTCCACCCCCCTACAAGCCTGCTTGTCCACCTATGACCTAACACTGTCAAAGAGGATCCTTTCAATTATTAAGTACACATTACAGCACAGAGAATGAGTAAGCGTTCTCCGCTGTGTACCCCCCAAATATAAACTACCTGTCTCATAGAGATGCAAGGGGTAGTAGCAACACATTCATTTTAGTACCTCCTCAAAGCTACTCTTTAGCCAGGTATATTAATGGTTGATACAGTTTATCGGTTTTCTCCTATTTGCTTCTTTATATGCTTATGATTATGTAATTTTTGCATATTTACTGTATCATGTATGATTTTAATTATACTTTTGAAAACCACCCTTATACCTCAGAGTAAAGGGAAGTTTAAAAATGCTTAATAAATAATAGTTTACCTATTGTCCTCCTTGGTGACCTTACTACATCAGGCAATAGTTTTTATTCTATCATTATAATCTATTGTATTATCTAGGTATAAATATTTAAAATAAAAAGGATGACTCCATAAATACTAGGAAAGTGCATGAAGGTTAGTGATTGTAGGCATTACATTTTCCTAGTAATGGCTCCAGTAACACAATAAGTGGTGATAGGTGAGTCAATTTGACTCTGTGAGCAATGTTTTATTAACTTCAAGCCTAGTAATCATCAATATATTCCAGTACCTTAGCAGAGTCAGTGATGTTATCCCAGTATGGAGAAGGAAATTCTAGCTTTCCAACCAGGATCTGATCAAAAAGATCTTCTTGGACATTGTTCTCACTGAAGCAAGCAAGAAAAAAAAGTTCAGCATACAGAATCATAGAGCTAAAAGATATTACAAGGACCAGAGTTCAACCTCCTGCCATTCAGGAAAATATAACTAAAGCACTCGTGAGGGATAGCCATCCAACCTTTGTTTGAAGACCTCCAAAGAAGGACAGTCCACCACCCTCTGAAGCAGTCTACTCCACTGTCAAACAACTTCTGGAACAAAAAAAATTCTTCCTAATAATTAAGTGGACTCTCTTTTATCATTTGAATCTATTGGTTCATGTTCTAGTTTCTGGAGCAGCAGAAAACATTCTGATTGCATCTTCTACATGACATCCCTTCAGATATTTAAAGATAGCAATCATATCACATCTCAGCCTTCTTTTTGCCGAGTGATGTATACCCCAGCTCCTTAACCTATTGCTCAGAGGGCTTAGTTTCTACACTTTTGATCATCTTGCTTGCCCTATTTGGACAGGTTCCAGCTTGTTAATATCCTTCTTGAACTGTGATGTCCAGAACAGAATAAAGTAGTCCAGGGGAATACAGTAGTTTAGGGGAATAAAGTAGTCCAGGGGAGACAAAGCAGAAATGAATGGCACAAACTGCCTTGATCTAGACACTGTACTTCTGCTGACACAGCCTAGAATGGGACTGGCTTTTTTTTTTGGCTGCCAACCTCAACCCATTGACTCTTGTTTAGCTTGTGATTTACCAAGACCACTAGATTCTTTACCCTTGTATTGCTTTCAACCCAAGTGTCACATATTGTATGTCTGTACAATATATCTATACTATTTTCAAGGTCACTATGTTAATTTACAAAAGTAGTGATAATTTCCGTAAACATTTGCCTCTCTGTATTCATGAGGGTTAGGGGCATAGGACCCTTGTGAATATGGAAAAAATGCAAGTAACTGAGGGGCTGCGCAGGTCCTGCCCACCTTTCCTCCCGGGCTTCTGAAAACCCAGCAAAGCCAGTTGAGGCTTGGGAGAGGGAAGAAAAGCCGGTTCAGGCCCCACACACCTTCCCTCCCTGGCAAACTCATGAATAATCACATTTGCCAAAGCCATGAATACAAAGGGACAACTGTATACTCAACTACAAGTCAACCTCGTGTATAAGTCAAGGTCAACTTTTGAGGCCCAAAGTGTACATTTTTATATGACCCATGGGTAATTTGGGAGGTCAGTTGGGGAGAGGCTTCAGGGTGTGATGGCTCTCCTTTCCCAGCATGTCCCATCTGGGCTATCTCCCAGGAGGCTTTTCAACTGAAGAGAGGGTTCAGGGATGATCTATTGCCCTTCCCAGCATCTCCCCAGCTGGGCTGTCCTCTGGGATGCATCTCATCTGAGGAGAGGCTTCAGGGGTGATCCATCGCCCTTTCCAGCTGGGCTGTCCCCTCAGGAGGCATCTCAGCTGAGGAGAGGTTTCGGGGGTGATCCATCACCCTTCCCAGCATTTCCCCAGCTGGGCTGTCCCCCGGGAGGCATCTCACCTGAGGAGAGGTTTCAGGGACAATCCATTGCCCTCCCCAGCATCTCCCCATCTGGGCTGTTCCCCAGGGGACATTCAGCTGGGTAGAGGCTTGGACATGCCATATGGATGCGTATATAAGCTGACCCAGGTTTTTGGGGTCAATTTTTTGACCTTCATTTCTTGATTTCTACACGAGTATATATGGGTAGCTGCTCATCACTCTGCCTTAGTTTCCAGTCTTCTAGAACTTTGGACATAATTAATTTTAGCCACATGAGTAAACAAAGTTATGCTACAGAAGTCAACGTTTCTAGCTGCTTTCTGTCAAAGGAAGATATACAACATCCCTGTGCATCATATTGCTGCTGCTGAACACAGAATCTAATCCACAGTAATATAAACAGTTCGAAAGCAGCACTATGAAAATTTGTGTTTTTTTGGGGGGGGGGAGAATTGTATCTCAGAATCCCATAGCGACCACCATGGTCAAAAATATGTAAAAACAAACAAACCAAAAGTTTTTTTTGTGGGTTTTTTGGGCTATGTGGCTGTGTCCTGATGTTTCTCCAGCATCTGTCATTGGCATTTTCAGAGAATGCTGGCATGGAAGTGAGTGGGATGGATAAACACACACACAGTGTAACCCTCAGCTGAGATGAAGTGATTTACATGTTAATCTGTGTTCATCTGTGGTTGAATGGCAACACAGATTAACATGCAAATAACTTCATTTCAACCAAGGGTCACACAGTGTGTGTGTGTGTGTGTGTGTGTGTATACCCCTCACTTCCATACCAGCATTTTCTGAAGATGCCAGCCATAGATGCTGGTGAAATGACAAGAATAAACTCTTATTGAACACAGCCACATAGCCCGAAAAACCCATCAAAAACCATGGATGCCAGCCATGAAAGTCTTTATCTTCACATTAAACAAACCAAAACTTTAAAAGATTCTTTTCTAAATCTGTGAACTATGGTCCATGCACAGTAACAACCACCAGTCTGTTACAATAGATAGCTATACTGAATAGGAGAGAAATACAACATTCTATGTTACATACAATTCAATCTGATTATGTGGAAAATATGTTTTTCTTTCCATTTCAAAACAGTAGCAGCTTTAAATTTGATGAAAAAATTTCTCCAGGATAGTAATTGTGGAGGAACAGAAAACCATTTCAGTTTTTTTAAAGTCTTTGTTTTTAACGGATGCTTATGCTTTGAAGAAGCCATTTTACTATTCAAACTTATCCAGTCTTCATGCCCTGTGCAAGAAGCTGTTCTGGCTAACTCAGAATAATTTACTGTGCTAGGTTGACTACAGCTGGAAGAAAGAGACAGATAGCAAGACACTACAGACCATTTCAAACATTCACGTGAAGATGCCTAAAAATTTGTACTTCAGTAGAATTAAATATGGCGAATAATTAAATAAGCATAGGCCAGTATGAATGTCAAAAGGTTTACTGATGCTGAACACTTAAAGATGCATCAGAGGTGAATTTTCTAAAATGTACTTGTAGATTAATTACAAACATGTCAGTCCATACTCTAACACTAGGGGGAAACCTCTGCATGCTTAATGTAACAAATAGGTACTGACAAATGAGTCAAGGACAAGAGGACATGAAAGCAGAAATCAGTTTCTTGCTTGCAAAAGCTTGTCTGCCTAATCTTGAAAATATTGTTTATCTCCCCATTTCTTCCCATACTTAATTCTTTCTGAATATATCAATGACAGATAGGTTAAAGGCATCAGAACTGTCTAAACTGAGGAAGAAGGAATGAAGGGGATAGAAAGCCTGCTGAAATAGGGAAAAGAAAGCATACACAGAGTGAAACATATACACTTAGTGAGACTGATAGATAATAGATAGATAGATACTGGCCGAACGGCTGTAATAAAATGATTTAATTTGATTTGATTTGATTTGATTTGATAGATAGATAGATAGATAGATAGAGATATAATTTAAATATTGGGACTAGTATGGTTCATAGAGAAGCTATCTTTGGTTACAGAGCTATCTTTGCTTACAAGTGATGTAAATCTTTGCTAATTTTCTTCTCAGTGAGTTTGCTGTCATATGCCTTCAAGTTGTTTCTGACTTAGGGCAACCCTAAAGCAAACCTAATCATGATATTTTCTTGCCAAGATTTGTTCAGCCAGGGTTTACCTTTGCCTTTCTCCAAGACTGAGAAAGTGTGACTTGCTCAAGGTCACCCAGTGTGTTTCCATCTGAGCAGGGATTTGAATCCTGCTCTCCAGAGTTGTAGTCCAATGCTCAAACCACTAAACCATGCTGGCTCTCGCTCAATTAGAAATTTAAACAATTTTCTTCTTGCTGTGAGAAAGTACTTAAAAAACACACGGTTTTGTGTGAACTACTCACAGTTCAAGACTTATTCTGTGCAAAACAAGCACATGAAAATTTTGCAAGTCCTGGAGTGTGAAGATTCTCATTATTCCTGGATTCTTTTCATTAGGGTTTCTTAACATCAATAAACATTTTTAGACCATTTCCCAAATACTTTAAAATATTTTTCCTATGCCTATTGCTTACTGTTTTATTATTATTGACTTACCTACGAAATGGTGGAAATCCACATAACAGTATGTATGTAATGACTCCTGCAGCCCAAATGTCCACCTTTAAGCCATAGCTGTTAAAAAAGAAAAGGGACAAGGCATATTATACTTCACACACACACCTATTATGGGAAGGTTTCAGATCTATGTGCTTTTAATCATTTGTGCCCTTCTATTCTACATCTCATTAGTGCCAGGATTTTCTGACAAAGCTTGGTACGGCTTGCCATCTACACAGAATAAATTAAAGACCACATTGAGATGTTGCCCATACTTCTGTACCAAATGTTATTATATGGAATAAAGCAAACATCTATTGACTGCATCTCTATTTCTCAAAGTCACAGTTTACTCTGTATGATAACAATGTCAATAAAACATTTTAGACTGTTTATGACATAAAGCTAAAGTATAACCTGGTCTTTCATGAATAAGCTCTGAGGTCATACATTTGCTTTTACTTCCATTTTCCTCACAAGTCCTGCATGATTAGTACCTTAAAGATTTTCGTGAACTATAGGTTCAGCTTACAGTGAACTACAGCAAACTATAGCTTGCCAAGAAGCCTATGGTTTGTGTGAGCCTTGAAGAGCAGAGCCTTAGAATGGATCAAACAAAGAAATCTTATTTTAATAATGAATCCTCACCCTGTCTCTGCAATTATTTCAGGAGCCACATAAGTTGGTGTACCACAGACTGTATAGAGAGGCCCTTCAACCACAGTGGCTAGACCAAAGTCTCCTAGCTTCAAGGACTTTGTCCCATCTGGATACTCACAGACCTGAGAGGAGAGAAGTGAACCACATTTTATCCTGGGAAAATACAGGGACAGTTTCTTGTAGGATTCTTGCTCAAATTAGTGCATGTATAATGAGTACACTGACCATTTTAAGAGACATTCAATATGAATATCTTTCCCCTGTCCAAAACAGCTTGAGTGAACAAACAAGTAACAGTAATTCCAAGCAAAATTCTAATTTAAAGTTGTATTCACATGTCAAATTAAATCAGGGATAGGGAAGCATAAAGGTAAAGGTATTCCCCGGTGACAAGGTTGTCAACTTGTGTCTGATTGTAAGAGGCGGTGCTCATCTCTGTTACTAAGCCGAATAGTTACTAAGCCGAATAGTCAGCATTGTGAGAGACTACTCTGTGATCATGTGGCCAGTATAATTACACAGAACGCTGTTTACCTTCCCACCAAAGTGGTACCTATTTATCTACTTGCATTTGCATGCTTTTGAACTGCTGGGCTGGCAGAAGCTGGGAGTAGTGACAGGAGCTCATCACATCATGCAACACCCAAGTCTTGAACAGCCAACCCATTGATCTTGTAATCAACAGTCAGTGTTTTAACCACTTGAGCCACTGCATCAGCCGCCATAAGTGCTTTGAAGACTCCCAGGGCTCCCAAACATCCTTTGTCCAATTGTTCTGAAACTTCTCTCTCTCACTCTGGAAAAAGCATTTTTGTCTAGGTGGTGTACAGGAAATTTCACCATGTTATTACTAGGCTTGGCTGTTTTAGGGAGAGAGCCCTTTTTTAAAAACAGGAAGTAAACTAGATGCTGACATCCAGATGACTTCCTGTTTTGTTTTTTGTTTTAAAGGGCATTTGTTTTAAAAAGGGCATATATATGAATGAATTTTGCTTGGGATGGAGACAAAGTGCATTCCTCCAGATTGAGTTGAATTGCAGCTTCCAGAATTTCTTCCTTAAGCTAGTTTGTCAACAGTAATGACTATGATAGTGGAAATTGTATTCCAGCAACATCTGGAGGGTTGAACTCTGCCTACCCATGGTTTAGGGCAGGGGTAGGCAACCTTTCCCCTTTAAGGGCCAATGGACTTCAGCTCCCATAAGCCTCAGCCATGTTGGCCAATAGCTCCTGGGATTCTGGGAGCTGAAGTCCCTCGGCCCTTAAAGGGGAAAGGTTACCTACCCCTGGTTTAGGGTCTTTTTAACAAGCAAAATCAAGGCACATTGGATTCTTCCCATCCATTTTCAGTATAGTCATGAGATGTTTGGAATCTTTGTTACCCACTTTTGCTTAGCCACAGCTTGTCATATTATCAGAAGTTATCACACTGTGGTCAGTCTGAACTATGGTTAAGTTTCAAACTAGCCAATTTTAACACATGGATTGTTTGAAATTCAAAACAGTTAAAAAGAGTAACCATGCTTGAGGTCAAAATGACACTGCAAACTGTGATTAAACACAGGCTAAATCAAAACCACCCAATTTATAATTAGATGACCACATACACAGAGTTTCATATGCATTTCATAGATCAATTACTTCTTTGAAGTATTACAATGTCCCTTTTGCAAGCAATGTAACAATATGTATCATCATCAATAGATTTGTGCACTGTGTAATGAATACATGCTAGCTTTTCTTGTTACTTTTTAGCAGATAAAACTTATTTGGGAGGCATTTCACCAAAACTACTGATTTTATACAGAACTTTCACATAAGCCACTGAAAGTATTAGCTTCATGACCGTGTTGCAGGAGGAACCCGGCATAGATGCTATTTGAATTGCCACTACACTACTCTGTAATGTAGTGAAATTGGCTGGACTCCCTGAGATGACTAAGTAAAATCTCACCAAGCTCTATGTATTCATTTCAGGCAAGCTTTTATTTTTATAGTGCCATAAATCTGTACAATCTCTATAAAATACAATATGACAGGTTGTACTTTCTTCATGGTGCCACCACAGTAATGGGATGCTCTCTCTAGTTCAATCAATAAGGCTAGTACTTTCTTCCACCTGTAAAAAACTAGTTCAAGACCTTTACATTTAACTAGAAGAGATTTCTCATTTTTAAGAAGTGGTTGCTTTTTTAAAAAAAGATCATGCAGGTCTGATTTATCTCTTTATCATTGTTTCTGGGTTGTTGTTTTTTTACTGGGTATTTATTGTTGATTTCTGCAACTGCTTATCACAACTGCTTATTAGTAGAAAGACAAATTTAAACTGTCACAAACAAACAAACAATGTAATATATTGTAGTAATTCACTGCCACAACAGAAAACTTCACAATCCTTGACTTAGTACTGCAACTGCTATTCTTTATCCTATATAACATTGAAGAACTGGTAAAACTGAATGTCTGTCTATCAGCCAAGTGGCTGATCTCACTTCCAACAACTAGATTTCTTTTCAGGATAAGAAATAATTTCCAATGAGAACCCTTATAACATCTCAGCATGCAGATCTATGCTAGTCATGGCATCTGGCAAATAATCTCTTTAGTCTTTCTAAGTGAAAAGTGCATCTGTGCCTATTTATATCTGATTTGATTACTAATGAGAGATTAAAGTGTCAGATTAGCCCAAGAGCTTCACCTCACTTCCTGATGTCACTGTTATTATTTTAACGCATACAGACTCCAGCTGATGGCTCCTATGTTACTGTGACAGTGAACTGACTCTGGCTTTTACTCCAAAATTTAAATGAGCTGACCAAGGCACTGGACTTGAATTTTGTGATCCTGTTCAGCACCCTACAATCAGACATGACTTGACAACCTTGTCAAAGGGGAAACTTTTACCTTTACCTTTCAGCACCCTGGATAGTCCTTTGAAGTCTGGACTAAACTCAGCTGTAGATTCTCCATTACACACAATATGAAAGATTCTGTTAGCAGGATCAATAACAAGTGGTAGTCTGTCACTATTGCTGAGTATACAGTTACTTCTTGCTTGCTGAAGGCCCCATCATGTGAAATAAATTAAGCATAAACAGTGCAATTTTCACATTGAACCTTGCTTCAAGATACAGCGCTGGAGGTTTTATTTCCTGATCTGGAAACTTATGTAAAAACAGATAAAATAGTTTTGCAAAATAAGAAATTCAGCATTTTGGGTACACCTGGCTGGCCAAGTAAAAAACTATAGTTCCTCCTGGAACTCTGGACCCTGTTTGGCTCTGCTATAAAGATGCTCTGTACACTTTTGGGCAGTAGAGGGCAATGTGCCTTCCTCCTCAGGTAATCCATTATGAAAAGCCTGGTGGAAAGGAGGAAATATAGCCAGTATATTGTTTTTCTCTAAAAGCTCTTCTTTCATTCCCAATTGAAAAGCCAAGCTGGAGAGGAGGGAAGCCTTCCCCTTCTCTGTCTACAGCCAGTGACAGTGTCATGTATCAATCAGTGCCTGCCTCCTCACCTAGTGCCCAGTCAAACTAACTCTATATATCTTGTACAAGCCTCCGGTTCATTGGTTCCAACTGTGGTGTGTCAATGTTTATATTTTATATTTATATTTATACATCATAAATATATTTTAGTGGGTGTTTTTCATTTGACATGCTTGATGCTTTATTTTGAAAAGTGCTTTGCAAATTTCACTTAAAAAGCAAGGCTTAGCTTTTTAAAAGAAATTCATAAAAACAACTAGAATTTTCTGAACTAGTTAGAAATATTTATTAATCTCCACTTGTTCTTTAAAAGAACATTTCTCCTCATTTAAAGTCTTCATTGCTGAAAGAAATCCTGCTTACCCAAGATACAATCTGCAATCAAAATGTAAATAATGATAGGATTTGGAAAGGTTAAAAGAGACAAATCATATGAAGAAAAGCTATTAATATTTCACGTAATCAGATTTAGTTTAAGAATACAATAATTTAATTCATTTGCTCTCTACACCTGATTGCCTCTTAACACATGCATAAATGCATGCATTTACATTAATATGTCTGAGAA